TGGATAATAATTTTGGGTTATTTTTTTGAATGATATTTTCAAAGTGGATTTGCCCGATGAAGTAATCATCGCGAATTGGGTTACGATATACCATTCGAATCTCCATTAAATATAGTATCTAATATACCAAGACGAACTATACCCTATTAATATACCGTAAGTTATTTATGGATTAATAATTTTGGGTTATTTTTTTGAATGATATTTTCAAAGTGGATTTGCCCGATGAAGTAATCATCGCGAATTGGGTTACGATATACCATTCGAATCTCCATTAAATATAGTATCTAATATACCAAGACGAACTATACCCTATTAATATACCGTAAGTTATTTATGGATTAATAATTTTGGGTTATTTTTTTGAATGATATTTTCAAAGTGGATTTGCCCGATGAAGTAATCATCGCGAATTGGGTTACGATATACCATTCGAATCTCCATTAAATATAGTATCTAATATACCAAGACGAACTATACCCTATTAATATACCGTAAGTTATTTATGGATTAATAATTTTGGGTTATTTTTTTTGATTGATATATTCAAAGTAGATTTGCCCGATGAAGTAATCATCGCGAATTGGGTTACGATATACCATTCGAATCTCCATTAAATATAGTATATAATATACCAAGACGAACTATACCCTATTAATATACCATAAGTTATTTATGGATTAATAATTTTGGGTTATTTTTTTTGATTGATATATTCAAAGTGGATTTGCCCGATGAAGTAATCATCGCGAATTGGGTTACGATATACCATTCGAATCTCCATTAAATATAGTATCTAATATACCAAGACGAACTATACCCTATTAATATACCGTAAGTTATTTATGGATAATAATTTTGGGTTATTTTTTTGAATGATATTTTCAAAGTGGATTTGCCCGATGAAGTAATCATCGCGAATTGGGTTACGATATACCATTCGAATCTCCATTAAATATAGTATCTAATATACCAAGACGAACTATACCCTATTAATATACCGTAAGTTATTTATGGATTAATAATTTTGGGTTATTTTTTTGAATGATATTTTCAAAGTGGATTTGCCCGATGAAGTAATCATCGCGAATTGGGTTACGATATACCATTCGAATCTCCATTAAATATAGTATCTAATATACCAAGACGAACTATACCCTATTAATATACCGTAAGTTATTTATGGATTAATAATTTTGGGTTATTTTTTTGAATGATATTTTCAAAGTGGATTTGCCCGATGAAGTAATCATCGCGAATTGGGTTACGATATACCATTCGAATCTCCATTAAATATAGTATCTAATATACCAAGACGAACTATACCCTATTAATATACCGTAAGTTATTTATGGATTAATAATTTTGGGTTATTTTTTTTGATTGATATATTCAAAGTAGATTTGCCCGATGAAGTAATCATCGCGAATTGGGTTACGATATACCATTCGAATCTCCATTAAATATAGTATATAATATACCAAGACGAACTATACCCTATTAATATACCATAAGTTATTTATGGATTAATAATTTTGGGTTATTTTTTTTGATTGATATATTCAAAGTGGATTTGCCCGATGAAGTAATCATCGCGAATTGGGTTACGATATACCATTCGAATCTCCATTAAATATAGTATCTAATATACCAAGACGAACTATACCCTATTAATATACCGTAGGTTATTTATGGATATATAATTTTGGGTTATTTTTTTTTGACTGATATATTCAAAGTGGATTTGCCCGATGAAGTAATCATCGCGAATTGGGTTACGATATACCATTCGAATCTCCATTAAATATAGTATCTAATATACCAAGACGAACTATACACTATTAATATACCGTAGGTTATTTATGGATATATAATTTTGGGTTATTTTTTTTGACTGATATTTTCAAAGTGGATTTGCCCGATGAAGTAATCATCGCGAATTGGGTTACGATATACCATTCGAATCTCCATTAAATATAGTATCTAATATACCAAGACGAACTATACCCTATTAATATACCGTAGGTTATTTATGGATATATAATTTTGGGTTATTTTTTTTGACTGATATTTTCAAAGTGGATTTGCCCGATGAAGTAATCATCGCGAATTGGGTTACGATATACCATTCGAATCTCCATTAAATATAGTATCTAATATACCAAGACGAACTATACACTATTAATATACCGTAGGTTATTTATGGATATATAATTTTGGGTTATTTTTTTTGACTGATATTTTCAAAGTGGATTTGCCCGATGAAGTAATCATCGCGAATTGGGTTACGATATACCATTCGAATCTCCATTAAATATAGTATCTAATATACCAAGACGAACTATACCCTATTAATATACCGTAGGTTATTTATGGATTAATAATTTTGGGTTATTTTTTTGAATGATATATTCAAAGTGGATTTGCCCGATGAAGTAATCATCGCGAATTGGGTTACGATATACCGTTCGAATCTCCATTAAATATAGTATCTAATATACCAAGACGAACTATACCCTATTAATATACCGTAAGTTATTTATGGATTAATAATTTTGGGTTATTTTTTTTGATTGATATATTCAAAGTGGATTTGCCCGATGAAGTAATCATCGCGAATTGGGTTACGATATACCATTCGAATCTCCATTAAATATAGTATCTAATATACCAAGACGAACTATACCCTATTAATATACCGTAAGTTATTTATGGATTAATAATTTTGGGTTATTTTTTTTTGAATGATATTTTCAAAGTGGATTTGCCCGATGAAGTAATCATCGCGAATTGGGTTACGATATACCATTCGAATCTCCATTAAATATAGTATCTAATATACCAAGACGAACTATACCCTATTAATATACCGTAAGTTATTTATGGATTAATAATTTTGGGTTATTTTTTTTGATTGATATATTCAAAGTGGATTTGCCCGATGAAGTAATCATCGCGAATTGGGTTACGATATACCATTCGAATCTCCATTAAATATAGTATCTAATATACCAAGACGAACTATACCCTATTAATATACCGTAAGTTATTTATGGATTAATAATTTTGGGTTATTTTTTTGAATGATATATTCAAAGTGGATTTGCCCGATGAAGTAATCATCGCGAATTGGGTTACGATATACCGTTCGAATCTCCATTAAATATAGTATCTAATATACCAAGACGAACTATACTCTATTAATATACCGTAAGTTATTTATGGATTAATAATTTTGGGTTATTTTTTTTGATTGATATATTCAAAGTGGATTTGCCCGATGAAGTAATCATCGCGAATTGGGTTACGATATACCATTCGAATCTCCATTAAATATAGTATCTAATATACCAAGACGAACTATACCCTATTAATATACCGTAAGTTATTTATGGATTAATAATTTTGGGTTATTTTTTTGAATGATATTTTCAAAGTGGATTTGCCCGATGAAGTAATCATCGCGAATTGGGTTACGATATAAGTATAAGTATATAAGATATAATATAAGTCCAGGCCATAGCTACTTTTGTATAAACAAATCCACACACATTAGCCCACTGGTTTTAGATACATCAAATGATGCACGTTCGAATGACATATGACAATCATAGATGTCAATTAAACTCAGCGAAAAAAATCACTTTGAGTGAGTCACAATGAATGTAACCATGAACCCATGACTAAGTCCAGGCCATAGCTAGGAACCCATGACAAGTCCAGGCCATAGCTAGGAACCCATGACTAAGTCCAGGCCATAGCTATGTAGGTAATAATCTCTACTAGGTAATAATAATAATTGCTGGGATAATAATAACTGCCAGAACGCCGACTCGATGCCTGCTCGGGGCTAGGTTTCTAACTTAACAATTTCCAAAAAAATAATTTAGATAAACATCAAAAACTTTTAATATTGTTGGTAAAAAGTAAATTTTACAATAGTAAAAAATAAAAAAAACAATTTTGAAAATGCTAAAAAGATATTAAAAAACAATTAAAAATAAAATTATTACGTCTTTAAAGGGATGTCAATGGTTTAAGGAAAAAAAAGTATTGGGGTCAAGTTTTCGAAAATTTTCTTCAGATCGAGTCTGGGTTAGTGTGCGGCAAAACCGCATTCACGGGATACAGAACGGGATTTTTTCAAACTTTTTACGGGACTAGATCCCACGGGATTAATCCACTAAATCCCGATAATCCCGCTCGACACTTAAAATACGGGATTTCAGGACGGGATCCAGTACGAGATCCCATCCCGTGCCGCACACTAGTCTGGACACAAAAAAAGCGTGACAATTTTTGACAATTTCGTGACAATTCAACCCGTGACATCCCTTAGTCTATTAATAGTTTACTTTGAACTTTCCTAAAAGAAATTTTTTTCACCGGTAATCTCGTCAAAAATATTTTTTCTTCTTCCTTCTATATTTCTTCTCTTTCACCAATAATTAAAATTCCATTATTAGTATTGGGTTCTTTTGAATTAAACAACATTTTTGATGATTTTGGAGACATTTTAGTTGAATTTCTCAATTTAATTGTTTTTTCCCTTTTTGATTCGGGTAGAGCACAGAGCAAAACAGGGAGGAAAAATAATCCGTGTAACAAACCTAATTTTTTTTAATTTCAAAAATTAAAATAAAAATTTTAAAAAAACCTATAGAAACAACAACAAAAATCTTTAAAAGAAAATAATTTAAAAATTAATTTAAAAAATAAAAATTTACCGTTTTAACAAAGGCAACCTTAAAGGGAAATATTTTTAAAATAAAAATTAAAAAAATATTTGCTTCCATATTTCGCCAATTCCCTATTTTACCAGAGCAAGGCTAAAAACTTTGCATTTTGTCAGCAAAGACATGGGCAAACTCGGGGATTTTTTGCCTTATTAGCAGAATATGGCAAGGGCGGAAGCCAAGGGGTCGATTTCAGGATTCACTTTATTTATCGTTTTCCTCCCAAATTTTTTGCAATATCTCCCAGTTCAGGGACCTCCTTGGCTATGTCCTCGGAATATCGAATTGGCAAAATATGGAGGATACGAAAAAAAAAATTACAATGGCATAAGTTGGAAGAAAAACAAGTGGAACCATGCAAAGAGCAGTAGAAATTCCTTTAAGAAAAAAATTTTTGAATTTAAAAAAATTTCTAAAAACCTGCTTGTAACATTGGAGGGCACATTTCTGTATTTGAAGAAAAAATTTTAAAAATTTTTAAACTTTGTTCCACTAACCTTCCAAACTTTGTGCTATCCTTTCTATACTTGATCCCTGTTTTGTGTAGTATTGATGAGCAATGTGGGCCTTAAAAATAAATTTTTTTGGAAATTTATTTTCTGGAAATTCTAAAGATTTGTAAAAAAAATCGGAAAAATTCTTTCTGAAAATTTTCCAAAAAAATCAAAAAATTTTCGAAAAATTTTTTTTTAATTTCAAAAAATTTTTAAAAAATATTTGCGGTTTATTTTTTAAAATTTTCCCAAAAAAATTTTTTTATAAAAATTTTCCGCAAACCGTATAATCCACACTAAAACCAGTAGCCAAAAGTACATCCACCATTGTAATCTTAACAGAGAAAAAAAAATTTTTTTTAATTAAAAAATAAAATTATTTAACCGGATCCAAGTCTGCCCCACACCAACTTAGAGTTCCAACTAGCGCTGTAAAATTAGAATTTTAATTTTAAAAATTTCTGATTTTTCTAATTTTTGAAAAAAATTTTGAAATTAAAAAAAAATTTAAAAAATCCAAACTAAAACAAATCGAGCTTATACAAATCCCGATAACACAAACACCAGCAGGGTGGGCGATAAATAGAGAGCAAATCAACACCATACAAACAACAGTTACGGCAATAGAGCCAATCAAATCGATTTTAACGGTTAATAACATGTTTAAAACTGGACTGAAAAATTTTTAAAAATTAAGAAAAAATTTCAGAAAATTTCTGAAATTTTTCAGAAAAATTTCAGAAATTTTTTTTCAAAAAAAATTTTTTCTGATTTCTAAAAAATTTTCAAAAAAATTCCCAAAATTTTCAAAATTCGAAAAAATTTTTATTTCTTACGAGTCAGCATCATACATCGAAGCATTAAAATTCTTTTCATATTTTTCAAGTATTATTCTAACTTTTTCTTCTATAACAGCACGATTCCACCATTCAGTCATTCCTTTGTTTACAATGGAAAATTGAAAAGATTTTAGTTGGATGCTGCCGTTTCTGTGAAAAATTTAAAAAATATTTCAGAAAATTTTTGAAAAATTTCTAAAAATTTTTTAAAAAATTTTTAAAAAATTTGAAAATTTCTGAAAAAATTTTTTCAAAAATTTTTGAAAATTTTTTTGATTTTTTCATTTTTTTGAAAAAATTTTTCAGAAAATTCAAAAATTTTTTAATTAAAAAACACAAAATACCCATTTTTCTCATATTTCACAGTCGGCGGATTTCCAATAGAATTCATAAAAAAGGGAAGATTGTCCAAACTAAATTTATATTTTCCTTTAGATCCAAGGCCTAATGACTGCCAAAAATGAGTGTTTTTCTTGTCAAATTCTTCATAAGGTCGAAGGAAGAGAAGCGTTCTGTTTGGGCCCCAACTTTCTGGTAATCCTTCCAATTCGGCAACCATTTTATTGAATGAAGAATACTTTAAAAAAAATAAATAAATATCGATTTAAAAAATTTAATTTCGCAGCCTTTCCCCTCTCTCTCACTCCTCTTTTTTTCCTTCCTCAAAGTATTAAAAATGGGCAGAAGGTCAGATTTGCTCCATTCCCACAGAAGCACAATACCGGATTCTAAAAAGTTGAGCTGGGTAAGGCGAGAAGGGAGGGGGGACGAAATCAATTTTAACAAAAAAAATTTAAATAAAAACCTCTTCTGGATCAGTCAAATTAGGTGGTCGATTGACCAAAATACAAAGCGGGAAAAATTCATCAAATACATCCCCCACAGAATCCAAAGAATGTGCTAAAGGTGAATCAGAAGGAAAGGCTTTTGAAGGCTCAAAGGTTGATTTAAACCTGTAAATTGGATTAAAAAAATTCATTTTTTCATTTTTTGAAATTTTCTTCAGAAAATTTCTTCAGAAAATTTATTTTACTTTTAAATAAAAAATTCAGAAATTTTTAAATTTTTCAAAAAAAAAATTTTTTAATCAAAAAAAACCTCAAAACTCCACTCGTCCCAACAATATAAAGAATTATAGACAATAAAAAGGCAGAAAAACGTCCTCTAGTTGAATGAATAAATTTTGCGTATTGAAAGGCTTTTGAGGTTTGAGGATTTAAGGGAAGTTGTTGAGGAATTAATGCAATTAAAGGTTTTTCATTATTTTCTGGTGGTTGGGGTAATAAAGTTGTTGGTTGTTTTGTGGTAGGAAAATGAGTAGAGAGGAGAACCAGAACTGGGGCTAACAACTAAATTTATTATTAAAAATCAGAATTATTTGCGTTTTTAGTTGGGGAATATTTATTTATTTAAAAATCAGAATTTTTGTGTGTTTCTCTAAATCAGAAGTGTTTAAAAACCAATGAATGTATTTTCTTATTTCAGAATTAATTTTCAGAATTTTTCAGAATCATAATTTTTTTCAGAATCAGAATTTAATTTCAGAATTTAATTTCAGAATCAGAATTATTTTTAAAATCAGAATTTTTTCTGAATTATTTCAGAATTAATTTCAGAATCAGAATTAATTTCAGAATTAGAATTATTTTTCAGAATTATTATTTCAGAATCAGAATTATTTTTCAGAATTTTTTTCAGAATTGTGTTTTACACTTATCTAATTTATTAATAAAATCAGAATAAAATACAAAAAAAATTCTGATTGTTAAAATAAACACAAAGAATTCTGATAAATTTAAAAACACACACAAACCGTAAATGTAAGAATATAATCAACCAAAACACCAATCTATTAAAAAATAATTTTAAAAAAATTAAAAAAAAATAATCCTTACAGAAGTACACAAACAAAATAAACTCATTGTTGGGGCAGGAGTAAAATACCCAATACCAAAAGCTGTTGTGTTTGTTAATGAAGTTATTGTTATTGAGGGGCCGATATGGACTAGCAAAAAAAATATTTTTTGGGGGAAAAAAATTTTTTTGGAAAATTTTCAGAAAAAATTGCTAGAAAACTATCCCAAAAATTTTTCAGAAAATTTTAAAAATTATTTAGAGAAAAAAACCTAAAACTTTTGAAAGCCTTTGTTTTAAAGATTTAATGTCTCTGTGTTGCTGCCACGATTGTAACATTATAAATCTAAAAAGAAAAAAAATTTCCTTGAATTTTTTGATATTAAAGATTTTAAGGAAAGATAGGAAAAATGTTTTCGTAATTAAAAAAATTATTTAATTAATTTAATCAAAAACATACGCGTCATCCACACCAACTCCAGCAATCAAAAATGGTGTTACACACATTAAGGATTCGGGTAGAGCACAGAGCAAAACAGGGAGGAAAAATAATCCGTGTAACAAACCTAATTTTTTTTAATTTCAAAAATTAAAATAAAAATTTTAAAAAAACCTATAGAAACAACAACAAAAATCTTTAAAAGAAAATAATTTAAAAATTAATTTAAAAAATAAAAATTTACCGTTTTAACAAAGGCAACCTTAAAGGGAAATATTTTTAAAATAAAAATTAAAAAAATATTTGCTTCCATATTTCGCCAATTCCCTATTTTACCAGAGCAAGGCTAAAAACTTTGCATTTTGTCAGCAAAGACATGGGCAAACTCGGGGATTTTTTGCCTTATTAGCAGAATATGGCAAGGGCGGAAGCCCTTGCCATATTCTGCTATTCTGCATTAAGGATTCGGGTAGAGCACAGAGCAAAACAGGGAGGAAAAATAATCCGTGTAACAAACCTAATTTTTTTTAATTTCAAAAATTAAAATAAAAATTTTAAAAAAACCTATAGAAACAACAACAAAAATCTTTAAAAGAAAATAATTTAAAAATTAATTTAAAAAATAAAAATTTACCGTTTTAACAAAGGCAACCTTAAAGGCAACCTTTTAACAAAGGCAACCTTAATATACCGTAAGTTATTTATGGATTAATAATTTTGGGTTATTTTTTTGAATGATATTTTCAAAGTGGATTTGCCCGATGAAGTAATCATCGCGAATTGGGTTACGATATACCATTCGAATCTCCATTAAATATAGTATCTAATATACCAAGACGAACTATACCCTATTAATATACCGTAAGTTATTTATGGATTAATAATTTTGGGTTATTTTTTTGAATGATATTTTCAAAGTGGATTTGCCCGATGAAGTAATCATCGCGAATTGGGTTACGATATACCATTCGAATCTCCATTAAATATAGTATCTAATATACCAAGACGAACTATACCCTATTAATATACCGTAAGTTATTTATGGATTAATAATTTTGGGTTATTTTTTTTTGACTGATATTTTCAAAGTGGATTTGCCCGATGAAGTAATCATCGCGAATTGGGTTACGATATACCATTCGAATCTCCATTAAATATAGTATCTAATATACCAAGACGAACTATACCCTATTAATATACCGTAGGTTATTTATGGATATATAATTTTGGGTTATTTTTTTTTGACTGATATATTCAAAGTGGATTTGCCCGATGAAGTAATCATCGCGAATTGGGTTACGATATACCATTCGAATCTCCATTAAATATAGTATCTAATATACCAAGACGAACTATACACTATTAATATACCGTAGGTTATTTATGGATATATAATTTTGGGTTATTTTTTTTGACTGATATTTTCAAAGTGGATTTGCCCGATGAAGTAATCATCGCGAATTGGGTTACGATATACCATTCGAATCTCCATTAAATATAGTATCTAATATACCAAGACGAACTATACCCTATTAATATACCGTAGGTTATTTATGGATATATAATTTTGGGTTATTTTTTTTGACTGATATTTTCAAAGTGGATTTGCCCGATGAAGTAATCATCGCGAATTGGGTTACGATATACCATTCGAATCTCCATTAAATATAGTATCTAATATACCAAGACGAACTATACACTATTAATATACCGTAGGTTATTTATGGATATATAATTTTGGGTTATTTTTTTTGACTGATATTTTCAAAGTGGATTTGCCCGATGAAGTAATCATCGCGAATTGGGTTACGATATACCATTCGAATCTCCATTAAATATAGTATCTAATATACCAAGACGAACTATACCCTATTAATATACCGTAGGTTATTTATGGATTAATAATTTTGGGTTATTTTTTTGAATGATATATTCAAAGTGGATTTGCCCGATGAAGTAATCATCGCGAATTGGGTTACGATATACCGTTCGAATCTCCATTAAATATAGTATCTAATATACCAAGACGAACTATACCCTATTAATATACCGTAAGTTATTTATGGATTAATAATTTTGGGTTATTTTTTTTGATTGATATATTCAAAGTGGATTTGCCCGATGAAGTAATCATCGCGAATTGGGTTACGATATACCATTCGAATCTCCATTAAATATAGTATCTAATATACCAAGACGAACTATACCCTATTAATATACCGTAAGTTATTTATGGATTAATAATTTTGGGTTATTTTTTTTTGAATGATATTTTCAAAGTGGATTTGCCCGATGAAGTAATCATCGCGAATTGGGTTACGATATACCATTCGAATCTCCATTAAATATAGTATCTAATATACCAAGACGAACTATACCCTATTAATATACCGTAAGTTATTTATGGATTAATAATTTTGGGTTATTTTTTTTGATTGATATATTCAAAGTGGATTTGCCCGATGAAGTAATCATCGCGAATTGGGTTACGATATACCATTCGAATCTCCATTAAATATAGTATCTAATATACCAAGACGAACTATACCCTATTAATATACCGTAAGTTATTTATGGATTAATAATTTTGGGTTATTTTTTTGAATGATATATTCAAAGTGGATTTGCCCGATGAAGTAATCATCGCGAATTGGGTTACGATATACCGTTCGAATCTCCATTAAATATAGTATCTAATATACCAAGACGAACTATACTCTATTAATATACCGTAAGTTATTTATGGATTAATAATTTTGGGTTATTTTTTTTGATTGATATATTCAAAGTGGATTTGCCCGATGAAGTAATCATCGCGAATTGGGTTACGATATACCATTCGAATCTCCATTAAATATAGTATCTAATATACCAAGACGAACTATACCCTATTAATATACCGTAAGTTATTTATGGATTAATAATTTTGGGTTATTTTTTTGAATGATATTTTCAAAGTGGATTTGCCCGATGAAGTAATCATCGCGAATTGGGTTACGATATAAGTATAAGTATATAAGATATAATATAAGTCCAGGCCATAGCTACTTTTGTATAAACAAATCCACACACATTAGCCCACTGGTTTTAGATACATCAAATGATGCACGTTCGAATGACATATGACAATCATAGATGTCAATTAAACTCAGCGAAAAAAATCACTTTGAGTGAGTCACAATGAATGTAACCATGAACCCATGACTAAGTCCAGGCCATAGCTAGGAACCCATGACAAGTCCAGGCCATAGCTAGGAACCCATGACTAAGTCCAGGCCATAGCTATGTAGGTAATAATCTCTACTAGGTAATAATAATAATTGCTGGGATAATAATAACTGCCAGAACGCCGACTCGATGCCTGCTCGGGGCTAGGTTTCTAACTTAACAATTTCCAAAAAAATAATTTAGATAAACATCAAAAACTTTTAATATTGTTGGTAAAAAGTAAATTTTACAATAGTAAAAAATAAAAAAAACAATTTTGAAAATGCTAAAAAGATATTAAAAAACAATTAAAAATAAAATTATTACGTCTTTAAAGGGATGTCAATGGTTTAAGGAAAAAAAAGTATTGGGGTCAAGTTTTCGAAAATTTTCTTCAGATCGAGTCTGGGTTAGTGTGCGGCAAAACCGCATTCACGGGATACAGAACGGGATTTTTTCAAACTTTTTACGGGACTAGATCCCACGGGATTAATCCACTAAATCCCGATAATCCCGCTCGACACTTAAAATACGGGATTTCAGGACGGGATCCAGTACGAGATCCCATCCCGTGCCGCACACTAGTCTGGACACAAAAAAAGCGTGACAATTTTTGACAATTTCGTGACAATTCAACCCGTGACATCCCTTAGTCTATTAATAGTTTACTTTGAACTTTCCTAAAAGAAATTTTTTTCACCGGTAATCTCGTCAAAAATATTTTTTCTTCTTCCTTCTATATTTCTTCTCTTTCACCAATAATTAAAATTCCATTATTAGTATTGGGTTCTTTTGAATTAAACAACATTTTTGATGATTTTGGAGACATTTTAGTTGAATTTCTCAATTTAATTGTTTTTTCCCTTTTTGATTCGGGTAGAGCACAGAGCAAAACAGGGAGGAAAAATAATCCGTGTAACAAACCTAATTTTTTTTAATTTCAAAAATTAAAATAAAAATTTTAAAAAAACCTATAGAAACAACAACAAAAATCTTTAAAAGAAAATAATTTAAAAATTAATTTAAAAAATAAAAATTTACCGTTTTAACAAAGGCAACCTTAAAGGGAAATATTTTTAAAATAAAAATTAAAAAAATATTTGCTTCCATATTTCGCCAATTCCCTATTTTACCAGAGCAAGGCTAAAAACTTTGCATTTTGTCAGCAAAGACATGGGCAAACTCGGGGATTTTTTGCCTTATTAGCAGAATATGGCAAGGGCGGAAGCCAAGGGGTCGATTTCAGGATTCACTTTATTTATCGTTTTCCTCCCAAATTTTTTGCAATATCTCCCAGTTCAGGGACCTCCTTGGCTATGTCCTCGGAATATCGAATTGGCAAAATATGGAGGATACGAAAAAAAAAATTACAATGGCATAAGTTGGAAGAAAAACAAGTGGAACCATGCAAAGAGCAGTAGAAATTCCTTTAAGAAAAAAATTTTTGAATTTAAAAAAATTTCTAAAAACCTGCTTGTAACATTGGAGGGCACATTTCTGTATTTGAAGAAAAAATTTTAAAAATTTTTAAACTTTGTTCCACTAACCTTCCAAACTTTGTGCTATCCTTTCTATACTTGATCCCTGTTTTGTGTAGTATTGATGAGCAATGTGGGCCTTAAAAATAAATTTTTTTGGAAATTTATTTTCTGGAAATTCTAAAGATTTGTAAAAAAAATCGGAAAAATTCTTTCTGAAAATTTTCCAAAAAAATCAAAAAATTTTCGAAAAATTTTTTTTTAATTTCAAAAAATTTTTAAAAAATATTTGCGGTTTATTTTTTAAAATTTTCCCAAAAAAATTTTTTTATAAAAATTTTCCGCAAACCGTATAATCCACACTAAAACCAGTAGCCAAAAGTACATCCACCATTGTAATCTTAACAGAGAAAAAAAAATTTTTTTTAATTAAAAAATAAAATTATTTAACCGGATCCAAGTCTGCCCCACACCAACTTAGAGTTCCAACTAGCGCTGTAAAATTAGAATTTTAATTTTAAAAATTTCTGATTTTTCTAATTTTTGAAAAAAATTTTGAAATTAAAAAAAAATTTAAAAAATCCAAACTAAAACAAATCGAGCTTATACAAATCCCGATAACACAAACACCAGCAGGGTGGGCGATAAATAGAGAGCAAATCAACACCATACAAACAACAGTTACGGCAATAGAGCCAATCAAATCGATTTTAACGGTTAATAACATGTTTAAAACTGGACTGAAAAATTTTTAAAAATTAAGAAAAAATTTCAGAAAATTTCTGAAATTTTTCAGAAAAATTTCAGAAATTTTTTTTCAAAAAAAATTTTTTCTGATTTCTAAAAAATTTTCAAAAAAATTCCCAAAATTTTCAAAATTCGAAAAAATTTTTATTTCTTACGAGTCAGCATCATACATCGAAGCATTAAAATTCTTTTCATATTTTTCAAGTATTATTCTAACTTTTTCTTCTATAACAGCACGATTCCACCATTCAGTCATTCCTTTGTTTACAATGGAAAATTGAAAAGATTTTAGTTGGATGCTGCCGTTTCTGTGAAAAATTTAAAAAATATTTCAGAAAATTTTTGAAAAATTTCTAAAAATTTTTTAAAAAATTTTTAAAAAATTTGAAAATTTCTGAAAAAATTTTTTCAAAAATTTTTGAAAATTTTTTTGATTTTTTCATTTTTTTGAAAAAATTTTTCAGAAAATTCAAAAATTTTTTAATTAAAAAACACAAAATACCCATTTTTCTCATATTTCACAGTCGGCGGATTTCCAATAGAATTCATAAAAAAGGGAAGATTGTCCAAACTAAATTTATATTTTCCTTTAGATCCAAGGCCTAATGACTGCCAAAAATGAGTGTTTTTCTTGTCAAATTCTTCATAAGGTCGAAGGAAGAGAAGCGTTCTGTTTGGGCCCCAACTTTCTGGTAATCCTTCCAATTCGGCAACCATTTTATTGAATGAAGAATACTTTAAAAAAAATAAATAAATATCGATTTAAAAAATTTAATTTCGCAGCCTTTCCCCTCTCTCTCACTCCTCTTTTTTTCCTTCCTCAAAGTATTAAAAATGGGCAGAAGGTCAGATTTGCTCCATTCCCACAGAAGCACAATACCGGATTCTAAAAAGTTGAGCTGGGTAAGGCGAGAAGGGAGGGGGGACGAAATCAATTTTAACAAAAAAAATTTAAATAAAAACCTCTTCTGGATCAGTCAAATTAGGTGGTCGATTGACCAAAATACAAAGCGGGAAAAATTCATCAAATACATCCCCCACAGAATCCAAAGAATGTGCTAAAGGTGAATCAGAAGGAAAGGCTTTTGAAGGCTCAAAGGTTGATTTAAACCTGTAAATTGGATTAAAAAAATTCATTTTTTCATTTTTTGAAATTTTCTTCAGAAAATTTTTTCAGAAAATTTATTTTACTTTTAAATAAAAAATTCAGAAATTTTTAAATTTTTCAAAAAAAAAATTTTTTAATCAAAAAAAACCTCAAAACTCCACTCGTCCCAACAATATAAAGAATTATAGACAATAAAAAGGCAGAAAAACGTCCTCTAGTTGAATGAATAAATTTTGCGTATTGAAAGGCTTTTGAGGTTTGAGGATTTAAGGGAAGTTGTTGAGGAATTAATGCAATTAAAGGTTTTTCATTATTTTCTGGTGGTTGGGGTAATAAAGTTGTTGGTTGTTTTGTGGTAGGAAAATGAGTAGAGAGGAGAACCAGAACTGGGGCTAACAACTAAATTTATTATTAAAAATCAGAATTATTTGCGTTTTTAGTTGGGGAATATTTATTTATTTAAAAATCAGAATTTTTGTGTGTTTCTCTAAATCAGAAGTGTTTAAAAACCAATGAATGTATTTTCTTATTTCAGAATTAATTTTCAGAATTTTTCAGAATCATAATTTTTTTCAGAATCAGAATTTAATTTCAGAATTTAATTTCAGAATCAGAATTATTTTTAAAATCAGAATTTTTTCTGAATTATTTCAGAATTAATTTCAGAATCAGAATTAATTTCAGAATTAGAATTATTTTTCAGAATTATTATTTCAGAATCAGAATTATTTTTCAGAATTTTTTTCAGAATTGTGTTTTACACTTATCTAATTTATTAATAAAATCAGAATAAAATACAAAAAAAATTCTGATTGTTAAAATAAACACAAAGAATTCTGATAAATTTAAAAACACACACAAACCGTAAATGTAAGAATATAATCAACCAAAACACCAATCTATTAAAAAATAATTTTAAAAAAATTAAAAAAAAATAATCCTTACAGAAGTACACAAACAAAATAAACTCATTGTTGGGGCAGGAGTAAAATACCCAATACCAAAAGCTGTTGTGTTTGTTAATGAAGTTATTGTTATTGAGGGGCCGATATGGACTAGCAAAAAAAATATTTTTTGGGGGAAAAAAATTTTTTTGGAAAATTTTCAGAAAAAATTGCTAGAAAACTATCCCAAAAATTTTTCAGAAAATTTTAAAAATTATTTAGAGAAAAAAACCTAAAACTTTTGAAAGCCTTTGTTTTAAAGATTTAATGTCTCTGTGTTGCTGCCACGATTGTAACATTATAAATCTAAAAAGAAAAAAAATTTCCTTGAATTTTTTGATATTAAAGATTTTAAGGAAAGATAGGAAAAATGTTTTCGTAATTAAAAAAATTATTTAATTAATTTAATCAAAAACATACGCGTCATCCACACCAACTCCAGCAATCAAAAATGGTGTTACACACATTAAGGTATCTTTAAAAAAAATTTTTTTAATTGTAAAACATTTTTTGGAGATGCGATTTTTATATAAAAAATTTTCATATTTTTAAGCCAAGTAAATTTAAAAAATTAAAAAAAATGTTTTTATTTCAAAAATTTTTCTAGTAATTTTTAAAATCTCAGAAATTTTTTAAAAATTCCAAAAAAACCTCACAAATTCTATTTCCAAGCCAAGTAGAAAATCCAAAAGCAGCAACAGTTGAAAGTAATGGACACAATATAGAAATTAAAACAATTAATCCAATTGCGGGTATTTTGACTAAATTACTCATTTTTTGATAAACAACAAAAGAAACAAAAATTAATAAAAGTAAAAGGCCAATCGACATTAAAATTGTTGCCTAAAATTTTTTTTTTATTTTAGAAAAATTTTTAAAAAATAATAAAATTTCAAAATTATTAAAAAAAATATTTTAAAAAATTTTTAAGGGTTCCGAAAAAAATATGGCAAAAAATTTTAAAAAATTCCAAAAAAAATTTAAAAATATTTTTAAAGCAACCTGAATAGCTCCACGTATCATTTCCCTTTAAAAAAATATTTTTCTCAAAATTTTTTCTCAAAAAAAATTCTCAAAAAAAATTTTCAAAAAAAACCTGTTAGCAATTTCATCCCCAAATATTTGAAATTGAACATATTTAAATCTTTTCCCTCTCTGAGATTCTTCAAATAAATTTAGAGTAACATTCCTCAGTTGCTTAATATTTTGTTTTGTGTCAGCTCTACTAAAATACCAAAGAATAATTGTTCGGACATAAATTTGAGAATTTTTTGAATTTTGATTTTTGTCGATATTTTTGGTTGAAATGTCATGTTTATCTGTTAAAGAAAAAATTTTTAATTTTATTATAAATTTAATTTTTCGTTCAAAATAAATTTTCAAAAAATCAAAAACATGCCAAAATTTTTAAGAAATTTCAAAAAATTTCCACAAAATTCAAAAAAATCAGAGAATTTCCCAAAAAATTTCAAAAAACATTCGAAAAAATTTTTCAAATTTTTTCAAAAAAATTAGAAAATTTAAAAAAAAAATCAAAAAAATTTTCTAAAAAAAATTCAAAAAATTCCTTTTAAATTCAGAAAAATTTTCAAAAAAATTTGCAGTCCTTTGAAAAAAATCTTTAAAAATTAAAAAAAAAAAATTAAATTAAATCATCACCAACCAGTAACAACTCCAAACAAATTAGATCCAACAAAAAGAGGAGAACCAAAATAATAAGAAAATGGGTGATCCAATTTTAGAAGTGAAGAAGAAGAGGAATTGTTAATTAAATTTTGCTAAAAAAAATAATTAATTTTAATTTTAATAAAAAAAACACACAGCAATTAAATGGAAAGGTCTATTCAAATTACAAAGAGGATCACACCCACGCATTCTGAAAATAAATAAAAAAAAGAAAATAAATTAGTTACAGTCACGGACAAAAGTTTGGACGCAAATTTTTAAATAAAAATATCTTACAGTATAATGTTCCAAAAATTCTATAAAAATTTCTGAGGACTTTTCCAATGATATAGAATAGAAAAACAAAAAGAACGAAGTCCTTAACTTCTTCTATCATCGAGATATCAAATCTCAAAAATCAACGGAAAATGGGGGTACAGTACTTTAAAAAATATTTTTACCCCCTAGAGCTTTTATAAAAATTTTTCTTTTGGGCCCATTAAAAAGCCCACAAAATTTGCTACAAAATGCTACAAGTTATTATTTTTCCAATAAAAACTCATGGAGACAGAGTCGAGGCAATTTTCTAAGTTATCATTATTGGGGTATTTTAGGGTGTTTTTGACCATTTTTATGTAGAAGTGTATGCAGTTCGAACAACTATTTTTTGGAACAAATTAGACCTCGGCTATTTTGTAGCAAATTTTGTGGGCTTTTTAATGGGCCCAAAAGAAAAATTTTTATAAAAGCTCTAGGGGGTAAAAATATTTTTTAAAGTACTGTACCCCCATTTTCCGTTGATTTTTGAGATTTGATATCTCGATGATAGAAGAAGTTAAGGACTTCGTTCTTTATGTTTTTCTATTCTATATCATTGGAAAAGTCCTCAGAAATTTTTATAGAATTTTTGGAACATTATACTGTAAGATATTTTTATTTAAAAATTTGCGTCCAAACTTTTGTCCACCCCCTTCTTTGGTTAAATATCAAAAAAAAATTTTTTTATAAAGTTTTTAAGTATTTTGTTTATGCATATTAAAGTTCATAAAAGAAGCATTATTTTACAAAAAATTTGTTTTTTAAATTATTGATTTTAATAGAAATATTTCAAAAAAAGTTGGGAAATAGTTTGCGTCCAAACTTTTGTCCGTGACTGTATTTAATTATCAGAATTTTTTAACAAATCGAAATAAAAAATTCTGATTTTTAAAAATTAATTCTGATTCTGAAAAAAAAAATAAAATTCTGATAAAGTTCCGTTTTATTTTGAAAATTCTGATTTTTTCGGAAATTCTGATTTAAAAAAAAATTCTGATTTTTTAAATGAAAAATTCTGATTTCAATAAGTTCTGATTTTTTTGAAATTCTGTTTTGTAAAAAAATTCCGATCTTAAATTCTGATTTCAAAATAATTCTGATTTAAAAAATTCTGATATTCTTAAATTCTAATCCCTTAAAAATCAGAACCAGAAATTAAAATTATTCTGATTTTTAAAAATTCTAACTCTTACCCAGTTTTTCCATCCCTCAAAGACAACGTCGAATCCAATTCAGAATCAAGTTGCAAAACTTCCCTTAAATGTGTTTCACGAAGCATAGTGCCCCCATCCTTCGCTTTAAAAAGCATAAAAGCCCGTTGGGGTGAAGTTGAAAGATTGAAAAATTCTTTGTAGATAGAAGCTTCCCTAAAAAATCAAAACAAAATTTTTCTTAAAGGAAAAAAATTTTTTTTACCTCATTGATTTTGAATTTAAAGGGCTAAAAGACGCTCGAATATCATATTCTATAAAACAAAAAAATCTATAATTTTAATTCTGATTTTTAAGAAATAAAATTCTGATTTCCAAAGAATCCTTCTTACTCCGTATTTTTCAGAATAAAATCAGAATTATTTTAAAATCAGAATTCTTTCAAAAAATCAGAATTATTTTTTTAAAAACAGAACTTTTGAAATCAGAAATTTTTAAATCAGAATTCTTTCGAAAATCAGAATTTTTAAAGATCAGAATTTTCGGCAAAATCAGAATTTTCAGAATTATTCTTAAAAAATCAGAATTATTTTTAAATTAAAAAAAATTCAAACCAATGTCCATATTAATTAATTGCAGGGAGAGCACAATTAAAAAGCAAACACTTGCAAAAATATGCCTAATTGGATGACGAGCAATAAAATCACCAAGAAAAGCATTTGCAGTGTCAAAAAGACTGTAGATATTGCAGCACATTTCTTTTGTTTTTATTTATTTTTATTTAGTAATTGTGTATTTTTTACATGGAAATCAGAATTTTTAAAAATACAAAAATCAGAAATTTTCTAAATTAAAAACCAGAATTTAAAAAAAAAACAGAACTAAAAAACCAGAATTTAAAGAAAAACAGAATTTTAAAGAATCAGAAATAAAGAAAATCAGAAATTAAAAAATCAGAATTTAAAAAATATCAGAACTTTTAAAGAATCAGAATTTTAAAATCAGAATGTTAAGAAATCAGAATTTTAAAAATCAGAAATTGAAAGAAAATCAGAATTATAAAAACCAGAATTTAAAAAAAAAAATCAGAAATCAGAATTAAAGAATCAGAATTTTATAAATTCAAAACCAGAATTTTTAAAAAATCAGAAATATTAATTTTTAAAAATTTCTGATTTCTTTTCCCTATTCATTTAAAGTTGCAATTTAAAATTAATTTAAAATAAAAAAAAATAAAAACGGACCGTCCTATAGCAACAGCAATATTAATAGTTGTCGTCGTTCGGGCCTTATTTGATGAAAACGGCCGCAGAAATAAATTAAAACAAGGCAAAGAGAAGAAAAAGAAGGAGAATAACAGAGCTGAAAAAAAGGGGGGATTAAAACAAATTAATGGGCGGGACAAACCACCCACACACCAAAAAAAATTTTTTCGTATTAAAAAGAAGAGGAAAACCGTTAATATAATGGCCAAACCAAAACTTTTTTCTTCTTCTTCCTTCAACTTCTTTTATTTGTAAATAGTTGGCTTCTTCGTCGAATGAAGTGACAAAATCTTTCAAGTCATTCCTCATTATCTTCGTCTCTTCTTCCTCTTCCTCCACTACCACTCCTTTCTCCTCATCTTCTTCCTCTTCTTTCCCTTTCACCTCTTCCTCTTCACCTCCTTCATCCGCTTCCTTCTCCTCATCTTCTTCCTCTTCACCTCCCTCTTCCTCTTTTTCATCTTCTTCCTTCTCTTCTTCTTCACTTCCTTCATCCTCCTCTTCCTCCCCTTCTTCCTCCTCCTCGTCTTCCTCATCCTTCTCATCCTCCTTCCCTTCCACTCTCCTCATTTCCCCCTCCTTTTCATTTTCTACTTCCCCCATTTTTTCAATTTTACCAAAATTCTCTTCATTTTCAATAAACAAAATATTTGTAGAAGAAGAAAACTTTATTATTGGCCAAAACCGGTTATTCTTCTTCTCATAAATTTTTTCATTAATAACGTTGTTGTTGTTGTCCTCTTGTTTTTTTGTAGTAATTAAGTTTGAATGATTACTTCTTCGTTTTCTACTTAATTTTAATTTGTCTTCTTTAGTTAAGTTAACAAGAGTTAATTTTGTTGTTGTTGTAGTCGTTGTTGTAGTTTTATCCATACAAATATGCGTAGTTATTTAATGATTAAACAATTTCTAGAAATAAAGTAAGGGGGAAAATATTAAAAAAATTTTCAAAAATTTCAAAAATTTCTGCAAAAAAAAATTTTTTTTTAAATTCGAAAAATTTTTTTAAAAAATTTTCTCTCAGAAATTTCGAAAATTCTGGCAATATTTTTATTTTTTATTTTTTTTTGTATTTTCAGTTAAGTTGCAAATAAATTTAGAAAAAAAATTCCGGAAAATTGTAAAAAGTTTTTATTATTTTTTTCAAAAGGCTACTACTCCATAAAATATTAAAAAATGACCGTCAAATATTATTGTTGTTGTCGTTATAAAAAAATAATTCTTCTATATATGTGGCTGTTTTAGTTAATCCCCCCCCCCCCTTAAATAATAAATATCCTGTCCCCTACGCTATTTTTTCTATATTTTCCTATATTTTATTTTTTAAATAAAAATTTATCCATTATTGAGTATTATTTTTGGATACCTACCAAGTCCAAACAGGACTGGGCGCAATTTCGGCTTGCGAAGTTTCGTGGGTCCGCTAAAATCCGTGAACACCTAAACTCGAAAAGCGAAACTGGCACACCTCTGTTATACAGGGATGTGCCAGTTATTTGTTATCCCCAAAACAAGTCCATCCCCCTTATTTACCTACTATAAAATTATTTTTAAGGAAGCTTGGCGAAATGATTTTCAAGAACAGCAAAAAACATTGCTAGAATTTCCGAGAAAAATAAGGGGAGATTTTAAAAATTAAAAATAAAAACACACCTCGAAAAAATATTTCCAACGATTTAGTCCAAAAAGATCTCTCATATATCATCATATTTTCCAAAAAAAAATTTTACAATAAAGCCACAGCAGGAGAGAGAGATCATCTTATATTAAGTAGAAGAATGCGCATACTAAAACAGGTTATTCATCCCTTTCTTCTTCTTCTTTTTTTTATTCATCTTCATAAATTATTTTTATATATTTTACTAGAACACTATAAAAATAAAAAATTGATTGAAAATATTGTGGACTGGACAAAATCACTTCTAAAAGTACAAAAAAATTTTTTATCTGAAAAAAATTTGGGGGAGGGGGTTGATGGGTGGGGAAGGATGGGAGGTTCCAATATGGTCGATATATGCCATTTGAAAAACCCCATAAATCTGAGTCAGAATTAAAACCAAAATCAACCTCTATCTTATACATATAGGCCAAAATAAAAGTCCTCGAAAATTGAAACCCCATAGAGGTTTCCAAAAAAATCACTGCCGTGGTGTAGTGGTTAACATCCCTGACTTGCACTTAAGGGGGGCTCAGGTTCGATGCCTGGCGGCAGTTGATGGCCGCTTTAGTGTAGTCCCTACACAGGTTACACGCTCCTAGTGGGTCCCCTCAAAAACAAAATTTTTCCAAAAAATTTTCCGAAGATCCCTACTAAGAAATAAAAAAATTATTTTATTATTTTGTAAAATATATAAAATTACAATTATATAAATATTAAAAAATATATTTAATAAAAAATGCAAATAATCTTTTTTATTCATTTTTATATATTGATCAAATAAAAAACAAACAAATTTATAAAAAACAAAAAAAAACGAAAAAAAAAATTTTAAAAACAATTTTAATGATTTCATGAAGCAGCCTGACAAAACAAAAAAAAATTTTTTAAATAAAAGAAATACATTATTTAATTAAATACATAAAAAGGCAAATAAATAAGACGAGAACGGCATCTCGATCTCTCCTCTATTTTTTTCTCAAAGATCCCCCCAAAAATAAAAATTATTTAAAATATTTAAATACAAGTTTAGATAGGACTGGGGGTAAAATAAAAATAAAAATTTTTAAAAATCGTCAAGGTGGGAAACCAAACCAAAAAATAACGAGAGTTTCTCCTCAATTAATGGAATTGAAGGGAAAAACTGTTTTTTAAATTTTTACTAATGTTTCACCGGAACCGAAATTTTGACCGGAACCGGATCCTATTGAGAAATTTTATACCCTTCCCTTAACCAATATCTAAAAATTTAAAAATGAAAAAAAAATTTTTTTAAGTATATTTGAGGGAGGAAAAAAAAATTATTTTTTTTTTGACGATCTGTGATCAAAAAAGAGATATAGTATAAAATATATATATATACATATCATATATAATATTTTTTAGATACAAAAAAATATTAAAATTGTTGTCCATTTTAAATTAAAAACGAGTGTGTGAACATAAACCCGCAAGAAATATTTTTTTCAAAAAAAAATGAAGTAAAATTTTGAGAAGCAAAAAAAAATATTTTTTGTATATTAAGTAGATTTTTTTCGGTTATTTTTCTTTAAATCAAAAAATATTATAAAGCCGTAATACCAAAATGTCGGACGTCTTTAGGTTTTCAAAGCTTTTAGTATTTTGAGAGGTTTGAGTGTTGGGTACTTCGGTGTTTAATATTAAGGTGCGTTCCCAAAAAAAAACACCCATAGAATGGTTACCACTTAAAGAAGAAAACAAGTGCTTGTTATTCTGGCTACTCTTGGCCTTACGGCGCGCTCACAAAAAAAGAAAATTAAAAAAATATTTTTACGCTTCCCAAAATTTTGGAAAAAATTTTTAAAAAAATTTTTAACCTTTTTTCCCTTCCTTCCACAAATCCTCTTCTTTCATAAATCATTGAATTTGTCTAGATTTATTATTAGCAACATTTTCACCACCACCACAACTACTACTAACACTATTATTTTCCAATAATTTTAAATTTGAAGCATTTCCACTATTTAATTGTTGTTGTGCTAATCTAATTTGTCTCATTAAAAATTCTTGTTCAACTGGATTCATTTGTAAATTTGTTGTTGCGTTTGTTAAGGAATTTGAAATAAGTGAAGATGGAGGTGGAGGTAATAATAATGATGATGAATTATTATTATTTGTTTGGGTTGTTGTTGATGTTGGAGTTATTCCTCCAATTTTTGTCAAATTCTTTAAAAAAAAGATAAAAAATTTTTTTTTAATTTAAAGCAGATAACGTAGTGTTTGATTCCAATACCTGAGAGTAGTGTTGTCGGTTTCAAAACGAATCGAAATGCCGAAAATTTTCGGGTCGGTTTCGATTAACCGAAGAATATGGTGAAACCGACACCCCTACACCTGGGACGATCGTAAAGTGCCAAATTATTTTTTCAGGTATCGAGAGTACAAATGATGCCAAAAACTCAAGTAACTTCTCTAAAAGAACACAGGCGGAAAAGATCTTATTTTAAGGTAGTGCACAGCAGGGGTGTCATTTAGACAACCACCTCATCTCCTAGTTGTCTATCAATTTTTTTTTAAAATGTATCTTAAATTTAATAAGAGTACCCAATTTTTGGGAGGTATTATTCTTGTGAATTATCAGACTATTCAAATATTAAATTAAAAAAAATTTTCCAACCAAATCTCCTCCTCCTCCTGCCCCTCCTCCTCCTCTAGTACCTCTCATAAGCAATCGTTGTTGATCTGCTGTCAATGAAGCTGTCTGATTTTGATTTTGAGATGGAGGAAAAGCAATTTTTGGTTCCAACTGTAATTTTTTTAATTAAAAAAAATTTTTTTTCTCAAAATTCAGACCGATTGTCCACTCAAAAAAGCAGCCAAAATACCTTCTGTTCCACCTCCACCACCACTTCCGGCAAGTAATAAATCATTAGCAAAATTATTATTATTTGTTGGTGGTGATAATAAATTTGTCAAATTATTGTTAGAAGCTTGAAGATTATTATTTCCAAGTAAAATTGAAGATGATGAATTTAACAAGGAAGAGTCTAAAGACGAATTAAAGTTTGATTGTTGTTGTTGTTGAGGATTTAAAATCAAATTTGAAGATGTTGATAAGGAAGAGGAGGATGATGAGGCAAACGTTGAGGAAGACGAGGATGAAGGTATTGATGTTGCGGAAGAAGAAAATGAAGAGGAAGAGTTATTGTTGGGTTGTTGATGTCCTTGTTGTCCTCCTTGTACTTGTTGAAGTCCTTGCCCTTGTTGAAGTCCTTGTCCTTGTCCCTGTCCTTGCTGTCCTTGTTGCTGCTGCTGTTGCTGCTGTTGTTGAAGTAAAGCAAGTGCTCTCAATTGTTGTTGTTGTTGTGAACAATTATTAGTTGAAGCATTCTTTAATCCATTTTCATACATCATTAATGACGACAATAAATTTGCCGAATTGCTATTGTTGTTTAAAATCAACGAATTTAATGAAGAATTATTTGGAAGAGCTGGAGGTTGTGGTGGTTGTTGAGGAAGAGAAGGAGGTGCTAAAACTGGTGCTGCTATAGCTGCTGCTGCTGCTAAAGTTGAAAGTCCAGAATTATTTGAATTATTGAAAGAATTGTTATTTATATTAGAATATCCTCCACCACCACCACTAAATTGAGCAAGTAAAGAAGCTGCCAAAGAATTCTAGAGAAAAAAATATTTTTTTTTTGGATTAAAAAATTATTTAGTAAATTGTGTTAAAAATATTTGCGGTTCTTTGGGAATCTTTCAACTATCCGAAAATTAACCGAAAAACCTCAAAAATTTTCAGAAAAAAATTTCAAAAATTTTCGGCTAACCGAAACCGAACGAAGAACTGAACCGAAAAATCATCTATTATTCTGTTCCGAGCCGACACACAACAATAATTTATTTATTCCCTACCGAATTCAACGCATTATGTTGTTGTTGCTGTAAAGCATTTAATAAATTTGCTTGTTGTTGTAATTGTGCAGCAGCTGCAGCATCACTATTACCACTTGTTAATGACCCTGTTCCTGGACCTAATGGTTGGATTGGAAAACCACCAAATAATTGTTGGTGTTGTTGATGTTGTTGTTGTCCTCCTCCCCCTATGACTCCTCCATTATTTAATCCAGCCAAAAGAGAATTATTATTTAAATTTGGAGCCCCAAAAGGTTGTTGTTGTTGAGGAAATAGTCCAGTTAATGCAGCAGCAGAAAGCAAACTATTATTAACATCAGAAGAAGGTTTATTAATGTTTTGAAGGCGAGACAAGAGAGTAGAGGTCAGAAGAGATCTATAAAAAACAATTAATTGTTTGTAGAAATTCTGATTTTTGTGTTTTCATATTATAATTAAAAATTCTGGTTTTTACAGAAATTCTGATTTTTGTATTTTGCACTTAGTAATTAAAAATTCTGATTTTTGTATTTTCCCATTACCATTTACATAAAAATTCTGATTTTTGTATTTTGCACTTAGTAATTAAAAATTCTGATTTTTGTATTTTCCCATTACCATTTACATAAAAATTCTGATTTTTCTGTATCTCATAATTTTAAATAAATTCTGATTCCTATTTAAAATCAGAACAATAGTCTATATTTTATTTATTAATTCTGAAATTTTTTTCCTTACTCATTTAAAGCCATTTGCTGTTGCTGTTGATTTGATTGTTGTTGCTGTTGTTGTGTAAAAAGCAAATTTAATTGTTGTTGTAAATTTAATAGAGAAGGAGCAGCAGCAGACAAATTTTGTTGTTGTTGAGAAGCAGCAACAATATTTCCACTATTAATTACTGTTTTTCCGCCTGAACGTTGTAATTGTTGCTGTTGCTTTTGTTGTTGTTCTTGTAATTGAATAAATTGTTGTTGCTGCTGTTGGGGAGTTGATGTCATTGAAATATTTGATGGATTTTGAGGATGATGGATATTGGTATTTTTCATTTGATTGTTGTTAACTGTTAATAAAAAATTATTTTTTAAAAAATTCTGATTTTAAAAATTCTAATTTTAGAAATTCTGATCTTAGAAATTCTGGTTTAGAAAAAATTATTTTTTTGGGAAATTCTGATTTTAAAAATTCTGATTTGAAAAAATTCTGATTTTAGAAATTCTGATCTTAGAAATTCTGATTTTAAAAATTCTGATTTAAAAAATTCTGATATTAAAAATTCTGAACGCCAGGCATCGAACCTGGGTCATTCAAAAAGTATAAATCAAATGTGTTAACCACCACACCACGGCTAGCAAAAGTTTTCTAACGACTATTTTTCTCCTATAGCGCACCCTCCCCCCTCTCTATTAGAACCACAAAAAATTAATTTAAAAAATTTTCAAATTAAAAAAAAATTATCTTTCAACATACTTTTCCCTCTCTGTTGTAATGTATTATGTAATGCCGCTAATCCAGATTTTCTTTCCATTTTTCCTCCACCACCTCCACTACCACTACTACTTCCACTACCACTACAAAAAGTAGCGTGTCTACCAGCAATTCCAATTGTTGGGGTTGTTGTTAATGTGGAATTAGTGGAAGGAGCACGCCCGACACAAGAAGAGGTGGATGATTTTTTGGTTGTTGTGCTTGCTTGGTGTTTAGCTATTTCATGGGCTATTACAGCATGCATATTACACCAACGACGATTCTAAAAAAATTAATTTTGTAATTTTTGGAAAAAATGCCAAAAAAATCAGAAAAAAAATTTCAAAAATTTTCCAAAAATTTTTAGAAAAAAATTTCCAAAAAAAATTTTCAAAAAAAATCCGAAAAATTTTCCAAAAATTTCAAAAAAAATTTTTTTCAAAATCAAACAAAAATCTACTTTAAATGGAATGTTTTGTTGTTGTTGTTGAGGCAAACTATTTTGATGAGATTTTGAAGTTGTTGTTGTGGTTGTTAATGTTTGAGAGGCAGCCAAAGAAGCAGCCAATTGTGATGCTAATGGCAAGCCTTGAGGAAAGGTTGAAGAAGATTGATTATTGACAAGTCTTTGGAGATCTGTTGGGGCTAGCTAAAAGAAAATTTTTTTTAATTTTTTTTTAATTTTTTAACCAAGAAAAATTTAAAAACCTTGAAAAAATTTTCGAAACCTTTCAAAAATTTTTTTGAAATTTCCAAAAAAATCCAAAAAATTCCCAAAAAATTTTCATATTTTCAAAAAAAAAATTTTCATTCACCTTTTGAAGAGAAGGAAACCCTGCTGAAAGATTTGACGCTGCTTGAGCCATTAAAACTGGGTCGATGGAATATAGAGAAGCAAAGGATTGCAACTTTAAAAATTTAAAAAATTTATTTTCAAAATTAAAAAAAATCTTTCCCCATACATTAAATGCCAATTCTGGATTTTTTTGTAATGCTTGTTGTAATGATTCTTGTGAGGAAGACAACAATTTTTGTTGTAAATTAATTGATGAACCACCATTTGAAATGGATGAAAGACCATCTAATTTAAAAAAAAAAGTTTTTTTTCTTTAAATTTTAGAAAATTCAAAATTTCCGAAAAATTTTCAAAATTTCCGAAACTGTCCAAAAAAATTTTTTTGGAATATTCACATTCCCAAAAAATTCTCAAAAATCAAAAAAAAATTTTTTTCTCAAAATTTCTAAAATTGTTCAGAAGATTTTCTTCACATCCCCAAAATTTTTTTCAGAAAGTTTGAAAAATTTTTTTCAAGATTTTCAAAAATTCCAAAAATTTTCAAAAAAAAATTTTTTATACATTTATGAATAAATCATCTTTTCCGAAATTAAAAATTTTTCCAATTTCAAAAAAATAATTATTTTTTTTCTTTCTCACCAATCATTCCTCCTCCACCTCCCCCACCTGCACAATCATTATTCTTTTTAATATTATTAAATAACAAATTATTATTTTGCTGTAAAATTGTTGTCGATTTATTATCAATATTATTATTTGAACGTTCAATACTTGAAATAACTGAAAGTGAAGGAGTTTGTTGTTGTTGATAAGTAGTAGAAGAGGTAGAGGAAGTTGTCGACGATGTCGACGTTGATGTAACAGCAATTCCAATCAAAATACCACTTCTAAAAAAAATAAAAAAAAAGAAAATTAAATTTAAAAAAAAAAAGAGGTTAAAGTGTGTGTGTGTGTACTTTTAAGATTTTAGAAGAAAAAAAAATAAAAAAAAAATATTTTTATAAAATTAATTTAATTTTGAAAAGAAAAAATTTTTTTTTCGTTATTAAATTAAAGAATGAAAAATTAAGGGAAAAAATAAAATTAAAAATAGGTAAATAAATTTTCAAACTAAATAAAAATATATTTACAAATCAGAAAATAAAAACACTTTTCAATTAAAAATTCTTTTCAAAAAAATTTTTTTAGATGCACTAAAAGAAACTAACAGAGAGGAAAAATATAAGAATTCAAAAAAAAAAATTTTTTTTTAATTCTTTTTACAAATTTTTAAAAATGAAATTTGGGGGATATTTTCCGTTTTTAAAAAATTATTTTTAAAATTTCCCTTACTTATTTCCATCATCCGATTCCAATTTTGCCATTTTATTTGGAGGTTGTCTAATCAACGATGACGAATTATTATTTAAACCCATTGGTGATTGAATTAAACCATTTCTATGAACAGTAGCAATACCAATAGTAGCTGAAGGACGTTTCATTTCTGAACAAAAAAAAATTTCGAAAAAATGCTTATTAAAAACCCCTTCACATTTTTGTTCGCTTAGCTTACTAGAAAATCCAAGAACCTTGGTCTTGAATTTTTTGGAGAGGTTTTTCAAGGGTTTTTAAGGGGTTTTTTGAGGGAGTAAAATAATTTTGGTCCACGACATCCCTTTAACTTTTACTTAATATTAGAGATCGAAATTTTGTTCCGTAACGTATTCCATAGCGTAATACCGTCTCAAAATTTTTTCGGTTGGTATTCCGTCCATTACCGATAAATACCGAAAAATGCGGCCGTAGTACGGCACGGTCCGATCTCTACTTTTAAAATGCTTGAGAAAAAAGGATAGAGCATAAAAAAATTAAACCGAAACTCAAATAGTGGGGGAGAGGGGGATTTTTAAACTACCTAATTTTGATTGTTCCCTCAAAAAATCATTTTCATTATTAAACAAATTAAAATTATTGTTGTTGTTGTTTTCATTTTCTACAACAAATTTTTCAATTTTTATTTTGTCTAAAAGTGAATTTGAGGAAGACGAGGAGCCTGTACTTGTACAAGGATCATCAATTAAATTGTTGTTATTTTTAATTAAATCAGAATTTGATGATAATAAAAGTGATGTTGTTGTTGAACCATCAATAAATTTGCCGTTAAATGAAGGTAGAAAATTTAACTGAAAAAAGTTTTTTTAATTTTTTGAAAATTTTGAAAGTTTTTTTAAATTTTGCGTCTATTTATGTATTTATTTTAAAAAATTTTTTTTAATAAAAAAATTTTTTTTTCAAATTAATAATCATTGCCAAATAGTCAATCTATTTTTATTTTTAATCAAACTACTAAAAAAATTTCCAAAATTTTGAAAATTCTGCAAAATTTTTTTTAATTTTTGCGTCTATTTATATGTCTATTAAAAAATTTTTTTTTATTAAAAATTTTTTCATATTTTTAAATTAAACATCATTGTCAAACAGTCTGTATTTATATGTTTTAATTAAATTATAAAAAAAATTTTATTTATTTCAGTGTGGGAAAAAATTTTTTTTGTAGTTTAATTAACCAACAGACACTGTTTGGCAATGATTTTTTAATTTTTAATTTTATTTTCATTTTTATTTGTTTAATCAACCACCCTCTTTTTTAAAAAAAATTTCTTAGATGACTAAAAATAGAAAAATATAAATGTAGAATTTAATGAATTAGGTATCTGTTTGTTTGTCTCGAATTAAAAAATTAAATTAAAAAATAGTAAACAAGACCAGAAAAAAATTAAAAAAAAGGGAAGAAGTTAAAATAATAAAATTTAAAATTAATCAACAAAAATAGACAAAAAATTAAGAGAGAGAGAGAACTGATTTCTTTAAAAGTTGATTTCTAAAAAAATATTTTTTTTAAAAAAAGAAAGGGAAGGAAAGACTGAAAGTCGATTTAAAAAAAATTTTTTTGGAAATTAAAAAAAAATGGAAAAATTTTTTTTATTTTTATAATTTACAGCAATTAAAAATCATTTTTATTTTTCAAAAAAAAATTATTTTTCCCCAATTTTTAAATACCCCAACATTTTAAACACATACATATTTAAAACATCAACATAAATAATCTCTCAAATTTTTTCTATTTTTCACACAAAAAAATAATTTTTTTTCACGCAAAAATATAAAAAAAATTTCAATTTGAAAGTATTCTATGAATGTACTTTCATAAAATTGATTTTTACATTTCTTTTTATGTCGGGGAGAATAAAAGGAGAAAAAAATGTGAAAAGGGATATATAACAAAAAAATGTAAAAAAAAAGTGGTTGTGGCCTGGGGTTCAGGGGAAACACACACACACACAAATGTTTGTGTGTGTGTACTTGAATGTTTAACAAAAAAAAAAAGATAGAAGGAACAAAAATATAAAAATATATAAAAATAGTAAAGAGGTAAAATACTCGTTTATTATGTGTGAGGTGACAGACTAACTAGGGAGACGAGAATCGAGAGCCATGAAAAAATTTATTTCGAAAATCTCGCCTCAGTCCAGTCTCTAATCTGAATGAAAGTGACAGAATAAAATGGCAAATAAAATCCTATCCTGGTCCTATCTTATCAAGGTAACGTTTTGAGGTAAATACGTGTATGTAAGCGAGGAACAGATTAACTGGAAGACGAGAACCTAGACCAAGATCTCGAAAAAGTTCATTTCAAGATCTCGTCTTGGTCCAGTCTCTAATGTGAAGTGACAGACTAATAAGTTATGATTATGTTCTAATTATTATTACAAACGCTTTCTTAAGCGTCCTGTACTTAGGTCCATCTTTATAAAATTGAGTTAAGGTGAATTTTAAATTTTTTTTAATTGCTATTTGTTTTTTTTCTAGCGAGGTCGAAGGCCGACTTAACCCCCCGCCAGCGTTTAAAGAGACGGAACAAAAATAAAATATATAAATAGTAGAGAGGTAAATGTGTGCATGTGTGGGTAGAAGGTGCCAGACTAACTGCCAACAACAAAACAAAAAAAAAACTAAAAAAATAGGGACGGGACAGCAAGATTGAGAGCCAATTTTCTTTTTTATTTTTTTAGCCAATTCGAGAATAAACATTAAAAAAAGCAGAAAGTGCAAAATTGTAAAAGCGACGTGTGGGGACGACAAATTGCCAATATGGACACAAAAAAGAATAAAATATTATTTTAAATAAACAAAAGAAAAAAGGGGGAACTAGAAAAAAATTCTTTTTGTGACAAAATAAAAAAAAGGAGGAAAGGAATTTGATCAAATTACTAAAAAAATTTCTATTTCCTTATTGCTTCACTAGAAAAAAAATCTTTTTTTTCTGATTAAATCTCTAAAGTCAGCCAAGTTGACAAAACGTCTCATGTCAGCAAAATAAAATTTTTTGCAAGGAAATTCAAGTCTAAAAAAGCTAGGAGACATCCACAAGTCTATAAAAAATTTTTTTAAAGACGTTTGAATGTCTCAGTCATCTTAAAAAAATTTTTTTGAGGCAATTAATTTTTTTTGGACACAAAAATTCGGAAAAGGAATAATTGGGGGAAAATTGGAAAAAAAATTTGGACCAAAAAAATTATCCAAAAATCCAAAAAAAATTTAATTAAGCCATTTTGTCAACTTGGCAATTTATCCAAAAATTAAAAAATACATAAAATAAAACATTAAAAATAAATTCCAAACACAGACAAACAAAAAGTACAAATTATTATGCCAACTAGGTAAAAGTAGAGTAGTAGACATTCCTCCCATTCCCCCTTCCATTTCACCTCACACAAGTACATTTTTTAAAAATAATATTTTTTATTATGAATAAAAAAATAAAAAAAATATTTTTAAAACTTTTGGCAACACGAAAAAAATGTAAAAAATTGAAAAAGAGAAGTGAGAAAAATAAAAAAATAAAAATGAGGGTAAAGTCAAATAAAAAAAAAAAGTTTTATATTTAAACAAATATTTGGAATAATGTAAACATTTTTCTAAAGAAGTAAAAAAAAATTCTTTTTAAAAATATAAAGTGCAAAAAGAAAAAAATATATTTTTTTAAAAAATTATGAGAATATTTTTTAAAAAAATTTTAAAAATAAAATTTAAGAATATGAGGTAATAAAAAATTTTCTTGGAAAGAATTAGAGGGATATGGACAATCACATAAAATAGCTCATAATTACAAAATACATGAACAATCTCATCACTGATAATGTGAATATTTTAAGAGAAAAAAATTAAAAATATGAGATCCTAGCAAAAAAAATTTTTTAAGTGCAGACAGGACTTAATTAAATATTAAACACATGCGGATAATTAAAAAAATTATTCTAAAGAATTACGTAACTATTTAAGAAAAATAAAGTTTTTTTTAAAATACGAGAGATTCTAGAAAAATTATTTTTTTAAAAGAGTGGAGACAAAAATAAATTATTTTTAAAAAAATTATTTAAGACACAAAAACATTTGCTTAATCATCCCCTAATTCTTTCAAAAAAAAATTTAAATTATCTCTAGTATTTTTAAAAATAAATTCCACAACAAAAAATTAAAAGTACACGGAAGTAGATAAATAAAAATAAATAAATAGACTCTCTCTCTTTAATCTAAAAATAAATTTTTATATTAAAAACGCGCCATTAACAGACTGACTGACTGACTGTGTCATTTCCTGTCATTTTTAACAAGTCCTGTCACCCTCCCTTTTTTCCGCTCTTTTATTTTATTTTTAATATAAAAAATATTTTTTAATGCCAAAAGAGAGGAAGCACAAGTACATTTTTTATGGCACTCTTTTTTATGGCAATTCCAAAAATGACAGCACCCCCCCCCCCCCCCCCCCCGTTAAGCAGAAAAAAAAAGAAAAAAAAGGAAAAATAAATGTAAGCCTAGTTGATGCTTTCAGCCTGTATGCCAGTCAATCGTCGTCGTAAAAAATAGGCCTTTTCTTTCCTTCTCTTTTTGGATGAAAAAAAGGGAAAAAAGCCTTCGAAAAAGCCTCCTTTCCCCCTTATTTATTTTCCTTTTTTTGTAACAATGTTGTTTTATATTTTTTAAGTGAAATAAAATAAAGGAAGGCTGACGGCTTTTTAAAAGCTACACATAAATTTTCTCGCTCTTTTTTTTCTAGTCTCCTTTTTTGGCACATGAGTGCATAAAAGTACACACACAAACATTTTTATTTTTACACACAAATACTTGTACATATTTGTGTTAAGTAGGAGAAGGGGGATATATAAAAAAGGGAAAAATAAAAAAAAATAAATTAAATAATAAAATCTAAAAAAAATAAGAGAAAAAAAAATAAACAAATTTTTAGAGACTAGAAGAAAAAAATAAATTTTTAAAGAGTGGAGGGTGCAAGAGACTAAAAAATTTTTTTTAAAGTGTGGAAGGGGGGGGGCTTAGGAAAAAACAAAAAATTTTAAAGAGCGGAGGGAGGAGGCTAAAATAAATTCTTTAGAAGGGGGAATTGAAAATTTAGAAAAATTTTTAATAATAGAAAGAAGGAACTTGAAAAAAAATTTTTTTTTAAAGGGGAGAAAAGGGATACTAGAAAGAAAACTTTTTTTAAGAAAAATTGTATGGAGGAGAGAGGTTGGTTCATTTTAAAATGGTAGGAGACATAATTTAAAATACAAATATTTTCCTAAAAATATTTTTTTAAAAAAAAGGAAGAAAAATTTTTAAAAAAATTTAAAAAAAAGAAAGGTTGTGGCTAATTAAAAAGAGGGATAAAGACTAACTAGAATAATTTATTTTTTTAAATAAAATAAATTTATTACACTTTAATTAATTAAAAAAATACCACCGTCAAAAACACAAAAAATTTAATTTTAAATAAATTTATTTTTCAATTTATAATTTCCCCCACCTTCTTTTGTTGACGTGCAGCAATTTTTTCAGCAGCTAAAGCAGCTTTTTTCTCCATTTTTAAACGCTTCTTTTCTTCACGACAACGCTCTTTTTCAATCTTTTTAGCTTCTCTTTCAATTCGTTGTTGTTCACGTCTTGAAGTTATTTTATTATTTAATAATGATGATGACGATATTTCTTTTTTATTATTATTGTTGTTCACAACAGTTAATGGAATCTTAAAAATTAAAAAAAAATTATTTTTTGTTGATTTTCATCGGTTTGTCCCCTCCCAAGGGCTTATGTCAACCCCAATACAATGGGACGATTTAGAGCAAGTACCCTTCCCAGTTCAAACTAGAGTTCGACACACGTCCCCCTGACTGACATGAGAAGGAAATTCTTCGAGAAGAACGAGGGAGGTCTTTTTGGAGGAAGAAGAAGAGAGACCTCCTCTTCGAGAAGAATGAGGGATGTCTCCCCAAGAAAGACAAAAGAAACTATAGTTCGACCCTGCCCCTTGGGAAAGAAATTTGCAGGGAAACAAGAAATTGCAAGAACCGTCCAAAAATCTCCCTTCCCCAAATCAGAGTCCCCTTCTCTTAAACATGCCAATTTTAAGAAAATTAAATTTTTAAACAAAAACCGTTTTATTTACTCCATTATTTTCTTCATCATTATCATCATCCATACAACAAATATTATTAGCAAAAGGTGTTGGTGTTGAAGCAGTATTTGTAGAAATTGACGACAAATTATTTAAATTATTTGGCAAATTTTCATTTGTTGGAGTTGTTGAAATAATTAATTTATTATTTTTCCTTTGTCGATTTTCTTCCTTTTCACGCTTCCTTCTTTCCTTGCGTTCCAATCGAGCAAGTTGACGTTGTTCAGAATTATCCTTCTTTTCTCGTTTTAAATCATTTTCAGCCTTAAAAAATTTTTTTTGAAATTTTCAAAAAATTTCTGAAATTCTAAAAAATTTTTTTGAAAATTTTCAAAATTTCCAAAAAAATTTTTTTTGAAAATTTTCAAATTTTCCAAAAAATTTTTAAAAAATTTCAAAAAAAATTTCCAAAAATTTTTCAAAAAATATAACAAAAAAAACCTTTCTCTTCCTTCCCATCTTTTTAATTTTTCCAGCACGAACAGCTTCTTCATAACGCCTTTTTCTCTTTTTATCCTCTTCCATTTGTTTTAAACAATCTTCGTGTTTTTTCAACAACTTAAAAAAAAATAACAACTTTTTCTTAAATTAAAATTTTCCTGAAAATAAACTCCAGTTATTTTTGTGTTTTTAAAAATTCATTTGGATATGGAAAAAGAAATCGATAATAAGGTTTTTGGTAAATCCAAGTTAAAAAAATCTGGTCTCTGATTTTGAATTTTTTTAGCCAAATGACGGTTTCTTTTCCTAGAGGAGAGGGGGGAGGTATAAAAATAACTCAATTAAAAAAAATTTCCGGTATCAAGATAGATAGCCAAAACAACCATAATTTGATCCCCAAATTTATGTTGTATTTTTAAAAAAATAAAAATCACTTCCCCAATTTTCAAAAAATTTTTAAGATTAAAAATATTTTTTTAACAAAAATTAAAATTAAAACCTTCTCTCTCCCTTAAACTTACCAAAAAATCATCCATCGAATGAAAGAGCAAAAGAGAAAATTCATCAATCACAATTTCTTTAATCAAGTCCTCTTCTTTTCCCTTCTTAATTTCATCGTCTTGTTGTTGTTCATTTTTTGTTTTTTCTTCCCCTTCTTCTTCAAAATCTTCTTCTTCTTCTTCAATTTCACCCATATCTATTGCATTTTGTTTATTATTTATTTTTGCACATGAAGAAGAAGAAATGTCACAGTAATTAACACATTTTTTACGCAAATTTAAACCTGGGTATTTTTTAGCCAAAGCTTGTTGAGAACGTGGACAGACAAAACTTTAAAAATATTAAATTAATGTTGAATTAAACCATTTCTAATAGGTAGTAAGAAGGAACAAAAAAAATATTTTAAAAACCATGGGGCCTCCTATTTGTAATTTTAAAAAGCGGGAATGCCGGGAAGAAAGGCGGGAGAAACAAAAAGGCTCAAGACGGGAGAAAGTACACATTCCTGCCCTCGATTTCCTACATAGTAGACTTTTTGGAATTCGAATTCTCTATTGGTCGATCTTATTCCTATTCGAATCCTATCCTATTAAATTTACTATTATTTTTCAAAAACATAATAATAGTTTCCCTATTCAAAAAAAATCTTCCCCTATTCAAAATAGCACATCAAAAATATTTTCTTAATATCTACTGATATTTAATAAATAATAAAATAAAAAATAAACGTCACAAAAATCGACCCTCTTATTTTCACTCCCCAACACCCACACATTACATATTCTTCCCTCCTTTCATTAAAAATAACAAAAAACCTGTGTTTGCCAATGCTGACATATTCTCTAATTAATTCTTCATTTGTATATTTAATTGATGAAATTTCTTTATTTTGAAGTATTTTAAGTTGCTGATTTTTGTTTAATACATCCAATTTGCAACGTTTTTTGTTGTTGATATTATTGTTAATTAATGGACGTGGCTTCCTTTAAAAATAAAAATTTAATTTAAAAAACGCTCAAAACGTCAAAATTTTGATTATCAAATAATTTAAATTGTTATTTTGGAAAAATTTTTTTGACTCGGAACAGTAGTATGAAAGGGTTAGTTGTGAGTAGGGTTGTCGATTTCAACAATTTCTTCGGTTAACCGTTAAAAACCAAGCCATTAAAGTCGGCCAAATGCTTCAGTCATCCGAAACCGACTCGAAAATTTCGACCAAATGAGACCGCGACCCGAGAACCCGAACCGAAATTTTGTGGTTAATCGAACCAAACCGTTAAACTGACCTATAATCGTAAATTTTTCCGTTTATGTGAAATCGATAATCCTATTTTAAAAAGAATTGAACGTATGCCTCAAGGAACGCCCACAGTAGAAAACACCTCCTTTAAGTTGGGAGCTGTATGTGAACTTTCCAGTTAGAAATCCTTGGCCACCCCCCCCCCTAATCAGAAATTATTTTAAAAATTATAAGAAAAACAAACTTATTGCAAGGAAGTGCTGGCGTTTTAAAACAATTTTGATCACCAATAATTGTCCCATCTTCAATTTTTGTTCCATCGCTCGCCTCTTCCTTGTCGTCCACCTTATTCTCCTCTTGTAAATTTTTTTCATTTTCTTCAGCAAATTGCACAATTTCATTTAAAACGCCATTTTGAATTGGTTTATGTCCACATTCTTTCAAATTTTGTTCATTTTCGTTGTCAAAAGAATTTTTATTTTCTACAAAATTGGATGAGACATTTGGTCCCACATCAATTTTTGTATTTATAATTTTTGATGTTGAAGCAATATTTGTGTCGAATAATACAAAAGAAGCTGGAGAAGAAGAAGAATTATTTTGTTGTTGTTTATCTTCTTCCTCTTTCATTTATATAGAGAAAGATGAAAGAATAAAGATGAAAAAAATAATAGCAGTAGTAGTTTTATATTTATATCAAAATAGCTGAAAAATTAAAAAAAATTTAGAAAAATATTTTTTATAAAATTCAATAAACAAGAATTGAAAATTGCCGGTTGAGTCAGAACCTAATAAAGCTAAGTCGGATTCTGGGCCTGAAGCCTGAGTCGAATCCTGGATCCAACCAGCCAATGTAGCTAGGACCTATTCTAACAATAAGTCCGAAGTCCCAGGTAGCTAGGTCGGATCCTAAGCCCAAAGTCCGTGTTGGATCATGAGACATTTGATCCCACACCTGAGCCTCAAGTATGGTCAGAACCCCAAATTCAAATTTCGGGTTAGAACCTAGGCCCAAATTTCGCATCAGACTCTGGGTTGAAGTCCAGGGTCAGAAAAAAAACTTAGGCCAGCCCAGACCCAGCTTTATTTCTAAAACCAAGAAAAAGAGTTAATAATGACTCAACATATATATGACTCAAAAGGGTCAAATTTCAAATAAAAGTTGAAAATTGAAAAAATACAAAGAATATTTAATATTTTTATTTATTTAAGCGAGTTAACAAAAAGTCTCAAAAACCAAAAAACCCCTCCCAAAAAGAATATTCCAAATATAGAAAAGGGAAAAAGCATCACACGAATTTATTTTAAAAATGCAAAAAAATGCAACGGGGATTTTTTTTGCTTAAATTTTTAAAAAATAAATATACAAAAAATTTTTTTGTCATTGTTTAAAATTGCATAAAAATATAAAAATTTACTCTACTAAAATAAATATTTTACAAGACAAACAAATCATTAATACCGTTGAAAAATGTTTTTAAAGAGAAAATGAAGGGAGAAAAAAAAATTTTTTTTTATTTTTTCAATTTTCTTTCTTTTTCCTCTCTTTTAATACTGCGATCTGTGCTATACAAAAATCTCTCTCTTTTCTCTTATCTTTTAAATTATTTTTCTCTAACCTAACATTAATATAACACTAAAACTACTCAACAAGGCTTCTCTAACCCCTATCTTTCTTCGGCTACCCTACAACTCATCCAATCCTTAACTCATCTAACACTTAACTCATCCACACGGCCAAAAACGGTCAACTCATCCAATCCTCAACTCATCTAATGCTTAACTCATCCACACGCCCAAAAACGCTCAACTCATCCAATCCTCAACTCATCTAATGCTTAACTCATCCACACGCCCAAAAACGCTCAACTCATCCAATCCTTGAAATATCGGCCGGTTGAGTCCCTAGCGGTTGAGTCCCTGGTCAGTTGAGTCTCAACCGGCCCAAGACTCAACCGGCGGTAATCAACCACTCAAACGGCCGGGACTCAACTGACCAGGGACTTAACCGGCTAGAGACTCAACTGGTCATGGACTCAACTGGTCATGGACTCAACTAGCCATGGACTCAACTAGCCATGGACTCAACTGGTCATGGACTCAACTGGTCATGGACTCAACTAGCCATGGACTCAACTGGCCATGGACTCAACTGGTCATGGACTCAACTAGCCATGGACCCTACTTACCAGAGACTCAAACGGCCGGAGACTCAAACGGCCGGAGACTCAAACGGCCGGAGACTCAAACGGCCAGGGACTCAAACGGCCAGGGACTCAAACGACTGGTACTCAATAGTCTCGTTCCAAAGGATTGGATGAGTTGAGCGTTTTTGGCCGTGTAGATGAGTTAAGCATTAGATGAGTTGAGGATTGGATGAGTTGAGCGTTTTTGGCCGTGTGGATGAGTTAAGCATTAGATGAGTTGAGGATTGGATGAGTTGAGCGTTTTTGGCCGTGTGGATGAGTTAAGGAATTTTAGCCGTTTAGATGAGTTGAGCGATTTTGGGCGTGTGGATGAGTTAAGTATTAGATGAGTTGAGCGGGCACGGTGACGCTCCACACGCCCAAAAACGCTCAACTCATCCAATCCTCAACTCATCTAATGCTTAACTCATCCACACGCCCAAAAACGCTCAACTCATCCAATCCTTGAAATTTCGGCCGGTTGAGTCCCTAGCCGGTTGAGTCCCTGGTCAGTTGAGTCTCAACCGGCCCAAGACTCAACCGGCGGTAATCAACCACTCAAACGGCCGGGACTCAACTGACCAGGGACTTAACCGGCTAGAGACTCAACTGGTCATGGACTCAGACGGCCAGGGACTCAACTGACCAGGGACTTAACCGGCTAGAGACTCAACTGGTCATAGACTCAGACGGCCAGGGACTCAACTGACCAGGGACTTAACCGGCTAGAGACTCAACTGGTCATGGACTCAGACGGCCAGGGACTCAACTTGTCATGGACTCAGACGGCCAGGGACTCAACTTGTCATGGACTCAGACGGCCAGAGACTCAAACGGCCAGGGACTCAACTTGTCATGGACTCAGACGGCCAGACTCAAACGGCCAGGGACTCAACTCGTCATGGACTCAGACGGCCAGAGACTCAAACGGCCAGGGACTCAAACGACTGGTACTCAATAGTCTCGTTCCAAAGGATTGGATGAGTTGAGCGTTTTTGGCCGTGTAGATGAGTTAAGCATTAGATGAGTTGAGGATTGGATGAGTTAAGCGTTTTTGGGCGTGTGGATGAGTTAAGCATTAGATGAGTTGAGGATTGGATGAGTTGAGCGTTTTTGGCCGTGTGGATGAGTTAAGGAATTTTAGCCGTTTAGATGAGTTGAGCGTTTTTGGGCGTGTGGATGAGTTAAGGATTAGATGAGTTGAGCGGGCACGCTTTCTTCGTTTTCTCCGACTTAAAGGCTACCATATTTTGCCAATTACACATTTTGCCAACTAAGGGAAAATACCACGTTTCGCCAACAAGTTTGTTGACAAAAAGCGGGTTTTTAGCCTTCTTGGCGAAATGTGTTATTTGCAAAAATGAGCACCCGGACTTCATGTGAAGCAATTCAACACACTATTTCCCCCATAGCTATGACAATTTTCCCCACGAACGAATCAATAGAGTATAAGAGCGTCTATGTATGACTACTACCATTTTTCTATAAACCTCCGAAAAATGTCCTTGCTACTGCCGCCGCCCTTAAAGAACCAGCTGCTTTAGGAAAAATATAAAAGAATATTTATTTATGTTCCAGACAGAAGATCACATTGTGAAAATAAAAGATTTTAAAAAATAAGAAAAATTAAGACTCTAATGGTTAGGGTTAGACAATAATTGATATTTTAACTTGAAAGAATGTATGATTTTTAGGGGTCAAATTGGAAAAAAATTTTTAACAGAAAATTGCTATAGCGATAACGAAATGTAAGGAATAGCCCTCCCCTCGTCCGAACGACTCCACTCGGACCGAAATTTGCTGGTGTGAGAGGGAAAGAGACGTGGGAAGCAGGCATGGGCCAGGCTGAGAAAAAAGGCTCCAAATTTCGGACCGAAAAAAGACAGGAATTCGGTTCTCAGGTAAAAATCCCTGGGAGGGAAGCAGAGTCAAATCAAGCAAAATCACTGGACCGAAAAAAAGACGGGGAATCGTAACAAAGAGATATTCAACTGCAATGGCGTAAAAAAAGAAAATTTAGATGATTTTCATGGAGCAATTTAAGATAAGAAAAGAGAAGTAAATGTGAATGGAAAAAAAATTAAAATTATTAAAAATATATAATCAGCTAATAAAAATAGTAGTAGAAGGGGAGAGTAGAATTATAGAGCTTTTGCACCTTTTGGCAATGTAAAAAAAGGAAGGTTCTTTAATTAAAATTATATTTAGTTGTTAATTTTTAAAAGAAAAATCTGAGGCAAAAGGGATTCAAAACACTCGAAAAAAATTTTTTTAAATCCAAAGTAGAGCTCGTCACTGGAACAGGTTCTCGATAGCCCGGAAACAGAGTATTTTGATAAAATTAAGGTTTCTCGGGGTTTCTATGAGTTTAGCCCGGGAATCCCTGGACCTGCTCAGTATGAAAGAAAAAACCAGGACACCGGGCCCGGCAATTTGAAAATGTCCAGCTCTAATCTAAAGAGGGAAGGATGAATTTTTCAGTTAAGTCAAGGAACTGTCTCAAAAGGTTAAAAAATATTTTTTTTAAATTTAATAAGGAAGTATTTTCCGAGACTAATAGTTAACCTTCTTTTTTTATTTTTAAAGAAATAAAAAATATAAAGATAGCCGCCACACACACACAAAAAATTATTTTTAAATAAACAACATTTTTTTCAACAAATTTCATAAAAGTACTTAAAAAGTGCATGTAAACTTTTACCTAGTCTATTGCACTTTTTTTTTAAAAAATCTAAAAATATATAAACATCTCAAAAAATTAAAAAATATTTTCTTTGGTCTAGAGGGTCTTTAAAAAAATTTTGGGGATATTTAATTATTCTAATAAACGCCCCTCTTATAGGTACTCGTCAGGGATGGGCCCTGCCGTATTTTAAAAAACGGAAGGTGGAAGCAAAAAAAATTATGGAAGACGGTGGAAGACGGAAAAGATCACCTATCTCTGGTACTCCTCCAAAAGAATTATTAATACTTGGATGATTATTATAAAAAAAATTTTTTTTCAAAAAAAAAGAAAAATCAGATTGAAGCAAGTAAAGGCCCAAAATAAAGCTAAAATTTTTCAAGATAAATTAAGGACAAAAATTAAAAAAATATATTTTCCTAATTTAACAGGCTTTTTAATGAAAGATTTATTATTATTCTTTAAAAAATTTTTAAAATAGAAAAATTAAAAATTAAAAAATTGAAAAAATAAATAATTTAAAAAGAACAAAAATCAAAGTAAGTAAACAAAAATAGAAAAAAAAATAAAATATTAAAAATAAATTTAAAAATTTCCCCAAAAATATATTTTTATATATTAAGCAAAGAAAATCAATAAATAAAATAAAATAAAATTTTTAAAAAAAAAAAATAAAAAGGGAAGGAAAAAGAATTAGTAAATTTGTGTGTGTAAAGTAAAATATAGAAAAGTAGAAGAGTAGCAAATAAAAGAGCGGTAAAAAGAAGAATTGAAGGGAGGGAGGGAAGGAAAAATATATTTTTAGTGGCCAGCCGTCACACAGCACCCAACAAAATATTAGAAAATATACACGAGACAAATATTAAAAAATTAAAAAAAAAAGAAAAAGGGGGGGATGAGCTGAAAATAAAAATAAATAAAATAAAAAAAAATATTTTTTAATTTTTAAAATTTATTTTCGAAAGATTTTTCCTTGAAATTATTAAAAATAGACCAATTTTTAAAATTAAATTTCATTTAAAAAATTACCAAAAAATTAAAAATTAATTTAAAAAAAAATTAAAAAAATACTTTAATA